ATGTGATGTGATGTGATGTGATGTGATGTGATGTGATGTGATGTGATGTGATGTGATGTGATGTGATGTGATGTGATGTGATGTGATGTGATGTGATGTGATGTGATGTGATTAGATTAGATTAGATTAGATTTTTTTAATGAGAGCGGCTTTGTGCCGCCCTCGCTTTCACCCCTGACATAGGTGGTCAGAGCCTTTTTTCATCATGTTAAAGTCTGTTTAGATTAGATTAGATTAGATTACATTAGATTAGATTACCTTTCTTTTTCAATAATAAAGTGAATCTTTGACAAAAAATCTCAAAAAAAATTACTGAATTACTAAAATCTTTGATTTGATTTAGGAAGATAATTAGCAAGATCGTCATGAAAGCTGCTGAAAGATAAGCCTTAAAGTAAATCTATTTTGACGAAAAACAAAACACAAGCACATATAATACGTACCAATGTGCTTGCTTATTGAAACCAAGGCCGCATTGAAAATATTTAAGGTATGATAGAATAAAAAATACAATACATGTTGCTTGATGAATTTGTATTGTCTACAATGAATATGAGAGGAGGAACACCGACGACGAATTATGAATTGTTTCAATGTTATCGGAGATCTTATCATTGGAAATATATTTTTTTGTCTGTGCTTTACATTGTTCAATACTATTGTAAGGCTTGCGGCTCTACATAAATAAAACAACGCACATCATATTTGACTACGAATAAATATATTATAATACATTGTAGATTTTAAGATTACATTATAAATTCGTTACACGATTGGTTTTAAGGTATTTTTTTTTATGGAAGTATAAACTGAAATCATCATTTCAATTCAATTTCAATTTCAGAAATTATTAAAAATGTGAAACCTACGTCAATGTTGAATAAGAAAATTATGGTTAAATGATAATTCTGAATATATTTAAACGTTGAATTTTAATTTTATAAAATTTCTTCTATTTATAAATAAATGTTTAAAGAAATATTCAGATATTAAGAATAATATAATCAAATTTGTCGCGACGTCGATTCTAAGCCGCTGATGAGATTTCGGGAGCTCGCTAACGATGGATAATTTAATTTGTAAATTACGCTAAACGCTATAACAGTTAATTAACTTCTATCAAGAATTAAAAATATGTTATTTTTACTCACTAAAATTTTTGTAACAGTAATTTTAACGGTTAAAAGTTACAGAGGTAAAGACCCAATTATTTGCAGGATAATTTATAAACAAAGAGATTCCAATTGAATACTATATTAATATATCTTTGATTATAAATTAATAAAAATGATGTAGGAATCATTGATTATGAGCTGGATCAAATACGTCAACGTTCATTACATATTTTTCAAATAAACTATTTAGTATGTTTGTTCAAATGTAATCAATTAGAATAAGAAGGAATAACCACCCAAACATGACGATAATTTCTTTTGTGCATTAAAAAAAGATCGCAATTAATTGTTGTATTATTAAGAAAGACGTAGACGCAATAAATCATATTTCTCACGGTTCTGGCTTTGACAGTTCCATCACCAGCTCGCAATCAATTCGTGGAAAAGCAATTACCGGCCGCAGCTCGAATTAGACGTATTTCTTTCTCCGATACGGCATCAAGCTGTTGTTCTTGTTTATTTTATATATTTTATTAAAGGAATTCAGAAAATACAAAATTAACCTAACTTATTTTAAAACACTAGCTGTCGTTTGCAACTCTATCCGCGCAGAATTTTAAAAAATATTAGGCTATGTTTTCTTCCAGACTATGTTCTATATTATGTATATATTCATGCCAAATTTCATCGAGATCCGTTGAAATGTTCTTGTGATACCTTCAAACAAACATCTAAACATTCGCATTTATATGTATAGTATTATATTAGTAAGATGTACGCTTTTTAGAGATAATTTCTTTTACAATGTTATTGTTAAATATTAAAGGGTTGTTTATTAACACTTTATTAATACAAATATACAAGAACGATTAAAAAATATATGAAAAATCATGATACGGCTAAGAGTTAGACCAACTACTAGATACGGCTGCTTTTAGAATCACGCTCATCAACAGCAGCGCTGTCTGTCAAAATATATCAACTTCTAGGAAGCGTCCGTGTTGTTAGTTACGCGTTATTCTAAAACGCTTCATAGTATTTCATACATTTTTGCTCTCAGCTTTGACGATCAGCGTAGCTCTAAATTAGCTAATATTGAGTTTTTCGTATTCTATAGAATAATTAACACCTGGCTGAATTTATTTTTTAATATTAAAATAATGAAACAAATAATGTGAAATATATATAGACATCCTATTGAAATGTTAACGAGTTTAAAATTAATTATTCGCGGTGCGTATCGTCGAATAAAATGCGGCATTTTCAATTCAACCTCCGCCCGCCGCAGTACGCTACATTTATACCAATTAAATTATTATCACAATAATTGTAGACCACAATTGATTAATTTTTATTAATAAAACTAGCAGGAAACAGAATAACACCGTATAAAATAAAAAAGATATTTCAATTTTCGACATTCTTTTGTTTTGCTTGAAACTATACTTGAAGAAAAAATTGACCAATTAATTATTTTTACTAAACTGATAAAATTATAAAACTGACAAATATACCTTGCTTATCATTGTACTACACTCACGGGTTATTGCCGGCTATATTTTTTTTGTTGAATAATTATGCAAATGCACAATCCTCGTTTTACCTTCCGGATGAAATGCCTTTTAATTACGAAAAAATCAAAATTATTTTATATTCAATTTGTACAAAGTTAAACGCTTACCCACTATTATTAATATTTTTTTTATTATTATATATTATAAATTATTAATAATGTTGGCTTTATTAACAGCAAAATCATAATATAAATAGTTACGTTCAAAGTAAAATTACTTTTTGATCTAACATTTGAAAATGTTTCAATAAAATTGAGAAGCTAAAATGCCTCTCGGCAATGTTACTACGAATATTTGTAATAGTGTAAGAATTTTATACGTATAGGAATCTCTCTCAGAATATCTGATTGCTTCACTGCTTTTAATAGAACACGGAATTCAAGGAAATACGAAAAATATGCTGCTAAAGAATGTAACTCTGAAATATGTAATACATAAATGGTTTGAACATGTGATTCGTTTCGATTCTTTCATTCCGTTATTTGTAGCCTTATATATTACGAAGTAATGAAAAAATCGTAAGCATGTTACTAAATAGTTCAGAGCCATCAGTTCCGAAATTTTTAATAGTTTATT